TTTCCCTGTGTGTAAAACACTTATCACACTGTATTGTACCCACTAGGAGAAGTGTTTATTTGCCTGTATCCTATATAAGATTCTCAATGCAGTTACCTTGTCCTATTTAATTTTGTATCCTCATGCCTAACAAAATCTTTGGCACATAGTACATGTTCAATTAAAGTCTGTTATATGATGACTTTGTTAAGCACTCACCCTATAACTATTGGACATGAAACCAGTTAATGCAAATTTAGGAGATTTATACATTTTCTCCTCTGACAACAACCAGTGGAAGTAGATTTTATTTCCTCTGTTTTAAGGTGAGAATCTCATGATAGCTTAAGTGATGCAGTGGGCTGGGTATTAACTCAGGTCTGTCTTGCATTTCTAGCCTATGGCATCTTAATTAAAAGCAAAACAAACAAACAAACAAACCATATATACATATAGACAGACACACACAAACACCAACTAGCTATTTTGGGTTTTCTGGATTATCTCATTTCTCCTGGTTTTAAGTTCTGTTTGATATAACATCAGGTAAATCAAGTGGATCTTTAGTAGGAGACCAGATCAATAAACACACACAGTTAGCCAAACACATTTGATAAAATATATCTATATTCACCCCTTTCCCACATGCACATTTTTCCTTATATATTTTTAAGACTTTTTGTCTTTGTTGTTATTTCTTGCATGAGCAAGAGAGAGAGACAGAGTCTTGACAACCCTGATCCATCCTTACCCTCAGCCAGTCTCAGATCACAGGCAGTGCCTGCCTGGCACATCAAGCGGTGTCTCTACTCAAACTCAGACCTTCCCACGTTGGTCACCCTTGCAGATCATCATATTTTACCACTGCACATCTCCCAGCTCCCTTTAGTCTATTTGATAGTGTTTAAAGGCAAAGAGAAAAGCTGAACTCCCCAAATCTCGGAGCGGTTTTCGCCTTGAGAAGCACAGAGCATTTCGTTTTGCAGATAACGGCGACTGTGACTGTGGTGAGTGCGTGTGCAGGAGTGGCTGGACGGGCGAGTACTGCAACTGCACCACCAGCACGGACTCCTGCCTCTCCGAAGACGGAGTGCTCTGCAGCAGCCGTGGGGACTGCATTTGCGGCAAGTGTGTTTGCACGAACCCTGGAGCCTCGGGACCAACCTGCGAACGATGTCCTACCTGTGGTGACCCCTGTAACTCTAAACGGTAATGTCTCTATTTCCCTCAGTCCCTATGTGGCTAAGCTTCATGGCGATCAAAGTCATAATGACATGTTGTAAACACAGATCTCAGAGTGTTTTTCCTAGGCTTGGTCTCCAAGCATCCATCCATCAAAACACTCAAACCCTTAGGGCCCCTGTGATCCTCCGCCTGGAACATCAGTGTCTCCCTTGCCTCGTTCTCAGTCCTGATTATTCAGAATCACAATGTCACATTTCTGTCAGAGACTGGCAGTGGGGAAGTTGAGCTGATGTCCCACACTGATAGCATCAGATCGCCTCTCAGTTACAAGGCCAGCCACACATAAAGAATGCCCTGGAGGTCGACCGACGACACCCACGGGCAGTCAGTGCCTTCTCAGGCGAATCAGACGAGTTTCTTTTCTACCTAGAAGGTGATAGCCTGACCTCACTGACTCATTCCTAGTCTATAGCTAGGAAAGGAGGCAGAAAGATGATCTTAGCTTTTAATTCCCTTCCTCTTCTTTACCACCCATGCTCTTTGGTGCCTTCCCGTGGTTGACATTCTACACAGATGTTGTGTATTGTATTTTCTTTCATGCTGTATGAACAATAACAAACAATCCCTCACCTTTTCTCATTCTCCAGTAAGACAACTCTTTCTTTGGTTGGCGTCTAATTACTTAATACAACAAGACAAAATAAGTAGGTCGAGTGAAGAAAGGCTCCAAAATGGCCGTTTTGATTTTGTAGTGCCAAGTATTATGCAATAAATATGTGTCCATTAATGTGAGTGCCCCAAATGGTGACATTTGCATTTCTGATATAACCAGATTGAGAAAATCAATTTTTCATTCAGTGGTTACTCACCAGTCAGGTGTCAAAATGTCTCTGTTTTTTCTAGCAAACTAAGACATATGCCCAGAGAAGTGTGAGGACATGATTAGAATTATTCCACTAGAATCTAATGTAAAATGCTCTTTTGAAATGCTTCTATTACTTTTCTATTTCATCATTTCTATAAACATAATTCAATGTTAAATCGGATTTTTAAGATATGAAGTTAACAAAGCAGTTTGGGTTTGGGGACTCAGACTTTTCTCCTTGGTATTTTTGTTAGTTTTGAAACCACTCATTCTGCCATTCACTTAGCAAATAGGTATTAAGTACCTGCTGTATGCCAAGAATCATGTTAGGCCATGGACATACAGTGAAAGACAGGGCCAGTTATAGTTTCTGCCTTTATAGGTGCTGAGAATCTAATGGGAAAGACACATTTTTGAAAGTAATTATAAGGGTGTCAAGACTGACAGCAACAGTAAGAAATATAGAGGGTGTTATGGAACCAGAGAAGGGGTTGGGTTGTCAGACCAGTTGATGAAGCAATCAGCAAGATGCATGAAGAGGTAGAGGTTTGGGGGACTCCTCTAACCTCTTCCAGGTTCCTGCAAAGCCATTCCAAATAGATGTGCTATCTAGAGGCAGGTGATATCCTGGCAATGCAAAGACAAGGCCTGTATCCCCACTTCCTTATAGTTTGCTGCAACTAAGCCTTTCCTACAGAAGAATCCTGAGGCTTCCAATGCACAAGAACTAACAGGTCTAAGAGTTAGGGGAGATTTGGCTAAGGGAGTACAGTTTCAGCTGAGATTCGATAGGACATGGGTGGGGTTGGGGTGCTTTTTATGTTTGGTTTTGTTTTTTCTTTGAGAGAGATTTTTGCTATAGGGTGTGTGTGCTCACTAGAGAGACAGAAAGTAAGAAATCACCCCCCCAGGGGGATGGCTATGCCTCAATCCCTTCTCCTCCATCTCCTCTAGGAATTTTGGCCATGCACACACACACACACACACTCAGCTTGAGTTTTAAGTTTTAGGACTCGAACTGCAGTTGACTATGTGGGAGTTCAGTGACATAACCATTACACTATCTGCTGGTCCCGGGGTGTGTTTTAAGAGTATACATTTCCATGGCATGGGGAATCCTGAAAGAGGCAGATAATATGTGGCTACAATAAGAAATTGGTTTCTGTTTTGGGTTACTCTAAGCACAATCTATTTGTAAAGCGATTTTCAGCAAAAGATTAATTCAGCATCTAAATTTTATTTCATCCTATAGACATCTTTAGAGTAGCATAATTCCTAGACCATAGTCTTAGAAATACACATTTTTTCAAGTAGCACTCTTTTATTAAAAAGTCAGTATTAATGAGAACCCAGGCTCAAATCCTCAGTTTTTGAAAATAATCCCATCAAGGCTTGGGTTTATTCAGAAGAGTGACAGAAAAGTGAATTCTTAAATAATCACATTTGACATATACAAAGTCCTTCTGGGAATTCGGGTTACTATATAGACCATTTCTGTTAAGAAATTCAAAACTTTGCATATTCTCTAGATGTATTTCTAATCATATTTTGGGAACTTAAGCGTTCCCTAGGAAAAAGTAATCAAATATCAAAATAGTTGGGTCAGTTTTTTACCTAGCAGAAGTGACCATTACAGGAAAATGAATATAGTGGCCATCATCAAGACTGGCTCAGGGCACGCTGATGACTGAGTGGAATTCAGAAGGATTCAACATCCTCTTGGACAGTACTCAACAACATTTCTGAAAGTAACAAGAGGCATTGTCATCCATGAGCCACTCCTATCACACAAACTTCCAGGAGAGTGACAAGGCAGTCTTCTGGCTGCAGGGCTGGCCACGTGGCCCAGTGCTTAAGGCCCCTGGCAGCCTGAAAGACCCACAGGTTTCACATACATACGTGCCTAAAATCCTGACAAGAAGGCAAAATAAAAGAGAAGGGAGATAAAACACTCCATAGGGGGTTAATTCTTCACTCTCCTTTTCTCTTTCTCTCTCTGGAGAGCTAACTTACCTTCTGACAATTTAAAAAAAATTCAGCTGCATATCTGTTATCTACCAGTGAGAACTGACAATCTCTGTTGAATGCCTTCCACAGGAGCTGCATTGAATGCCACCTCTCTGCAGATGGCCAGGCCCGAGAAGACTGTGTGGACAGATGTAAACTAGCCGGTGCAACCATCAGTGATGAAGAAGGTTCTACTTGCCTTAAATTGCTTTTATTTACTTTTCATGGTTCTTGAGAAGCAGAGACTCTGAAAATCAAGGGCTTTTCAGTAGTTTGACATCATTTGTGCCAGGGCATTGACTCACTCCCATTCATTTTTAAGGAATGAATGTGTTTTATAAGAATGCATTCTAGGGACCAGCAGATGGCATAGTGTCTATGTCACTGGACTCCCATGTAGTAGGCTGCAGTTTGAGTCCCAGACCCGGTGGCTTAAACTCATGCTGCGCATGTGTGCCTGTGTGCCCAATATCCCAAGAGGAGAATGGAGGAGAAGGGATTGCGGCATGGCTATCCCCCTGGGGGGTGATTTCTCATTTTATGTCTCTCTGTCTCTCTCTGTCTTTCTGGTGAGTGGTGAGCACACATGCCCTATAGCAAAAACCTCTTCATCCCCTATACAAAAAACCTCTCCAAAAAAAAAAAAAAAAAAAAGAGAGACAATTCATTCTATATTTTTAGTGGCTTGAGATGCAAGCAATTCAAAGTTGTGGCTATTCTGTTTGACTTCAGCTCTGCTGGCAAATTCATCTCTGTTTAACAAGTAGAATTATAGAGAATTCTAGAATGCCATGTCTTTCAAACTAGAAAAGAAAAAAAATGGAAGAAATGGTAAATTTAATTCTCAAACTTGAAATCATCTGCTGTCATCTGATTGTGTTATTTCAAGGTAAAATAGTACCAGCTGTAAGACAGTTTTCCTTGTTTTGGGGGGAGAGGTTTTCGCTATAGGGTGCGTGTGCTCGCCAGACAGAGAGAGAGAGAGACATAGAGACAGAAAACGAGAAATCACCCCCTCCCAGGGGGGATGGTCACACCGCAATCCCTTCTCCTCCATTCTCCTCTTGGGATCTTGGGCACGCGCACACATGCACCCGCCGTGAGTTTTAAGCCACCAGGTCCGTGATGCGAACCGCGGTCGACTATATGGGAGTCCAGCAACACAGCCATTACGCTAACTGCTGGTTCCCAACAGTTTTCCTGATAGCAGCTCCCAGGTACCAGTTTCTGGTCAGTGGTCATTTTTTCTCCTCTCCTCTCCATATGCTTTTGCTCCCATCCTTACACACATGGACACTTATATGACCATCTTTTAATTCCCTGTACCCTCACCCTCGAAGTGTAAGAAGGGCCTGTTATTGTTGGCTGCCAAGCAAACGCTGCTTACTTTCATCTGCCATTTTGCACTTAATTACTGAAAATCAGTCTTTCTAGTGGCACATTTCCATCTCAAATATTTAAATAGACTGCATCTTAGCTAGATAGTCCATTGATAAAATAATTTGTGAATTTCAAAATAAAGAAGGTGACTGATCCTTCATACAGGGACCACCTGGAGGAATTTGGGTGTGGAGCATCACAAACTCCCCACATTACCACGCTGCTCGGTTACAGCGGCTGCTCTGTGATTAGAGAGACAACCGAGATGCATCTCAGTGAAACAAAATGATCAAGACAATAATTTATAGTGCTCTCAGACATGTTTCTCGAACAGGTGGAATCAGAGCACAGACATTAATCCATTTCTAAAAGAGAATAAGTTAATAACATTTGTATTGTTTTGAAAATTACTCATATTGTTTTAAAATGGAGAGTTCTGACTACACAGTTGAATTTCCCTATATTGAAGAGACATGATTAATGCTATAAAACCCCTCATCTGTGCTTTTCTGGTGACCAAAGATAAACATGCCAAAAAGCAACATATTAGACAAGTAGCGTGTAGCTCACACTAACACCTATGTCAGGCCCAGGAAAGCACAGAGTAAAGCAGTGTGCGTGGACGTCAGCAACTCGAGCCGAGGCTCAGCACAACCATCTGGGTTCATTTCTCTGCAGACAGTGGGGATATTGCCAGGATTCTGAGAAGTGAGTGGAAAATGGCAGGAAATAAAGAGCATTAGCAACATGGGCAATCCTAGATGCTGAGGAAAATAAAGGCGTAAACCTTAAAAACATCTATTTGAAACATGAAAGCATGAATAAGGTAGTTACTATATTTACACAATGTCCAGAGTAGATTATCATACATGTTTGGATTTGAAAAAAAAAAAAGCAGGACTCAAGTGTCTTTTAAAATACTTACGTTAAGGGCCAGCAGTGGCATGGTGGTTACGATGCTGGACTCTCACATGGCTAACCACATTTCGAGTCCCTGACCTGGCAACTTGAAAATCACGCCAATACTTGTGCATGCATGCCCAAAATCCTGAGAGGAGAGTGGAAGGGAAGGGACTGCAGTGTGGTCGTTTCCCTTGGGGAGTGATTTCTTACTTTTCTCTGTCTCTCTCCAGCAAATGCACACACCCTGCGGCAAGAACCTAAAAAATTAAAAATTAAATAAAAAAATTTACATCCTCCTCTCTATGTATTTGAAATTATCTTTTAAAAAGGAGAACATAATTATGTCTAACTCAGAAATTTGAAAATAATCATTGGATTACTTATACCATTCAAAGCACTAGTCTGAATGAACCTAAGAGTAAAAAATGTATTTGTCAGACTGAGTTAGAAAGTCATTTTTCTAATGAGACTATTTTTAAGTCCTGATTCAAGTTAATCACCTCGTTATGTTACTGATCATACCACCTTGAAATATTGGCATTATATGTGCTTTTCTAGGAGATCTCTTAACTTTATAATCCATATGAACTGTTCCTCAATTGCGTGTGGGTGACTTGGGCAGGCACACCGAATGACATGTGGACTAACCGTAGTCATTTCATTTTATTGAGACGTGTTTTTAATTTATAATCATGTCCTCAGGACATTGTGACTCAAACTGTGGTCCGTGGAACACTAGTTCTGAAATATTACTTGGAAAATAGAAACACTCATAGCCATATACATTTTGGAAACAAGAAACTACCTTTTTTGTTTTCTTTGCAAGGATTCTCAGAGTTGTTGCACACGTTAAGTTAAATGTGCATTATGAATCATCAGGAGAAACAAGGGGAGAAATTAAAGTTAAGGAAGGATTCCCAGACTTATTTAACCATAGAACCCTTTTGTTTTTCTTTGGGAAACTTTTCTTTGAGAACTGCTATCTGATCTCAGAGCTGAGGTCTTAAGTGCATGGTTGCTTTGACCCAATGGTGCAGTTTGTATTTTCCACATCCCGGACCTTCCCAGACTCCGTCTGCTCACCCCTGCTCTCACATTTCTCCCTTCTCCAAACATGATTTCATGGGACTGCCTGCAATCTTATTTTCATTGTATTATTCTGGGGCAGCACTGTGGACACTCACAAAGGAGAGTAAAAAGAAAGTTCCATTTTTCGTGAACAACAAAAGAAAACCTTACCAGCTAATTATGCAAATCTTTTGTTGCATGTTTGATAATAAAATTTCAATACCCAAACACTATAAAATAGCCACATTTATAGCTGAAACAGTCACGAAAAGAGTGGTGAAGTAATTAGAGCAGGACGGGAGTCGTGACTCAAAGGTCATATTCGCAGTTCCATTAAAACTTAAATAATTCCGGCCAAGTAAAATAAGCCTCCCTATGCTGCAGTACAGCTATTTAAAAGAAATAACAAAGCAGGATTAATATTACTAAAAGGAGTGTGATAAACTGTCCACATATTTTCTATCTAAGGATAAAATGTTCCATTAAGTATATTTGCAAGGAGCAGAATGGGCCTGTGCTGTCATGGCAGAGGGAGAATGAAAGAAAACACCACAACAAGGGAACACATGGCCAGCAGGTAGCATAGACGTTAAGCAGCTGGATGCCACAAGGCCAACAGCGTAGTTGGAATCCTGGACCCGGAGGCTTAAAAATCATGCCAGTTGCATATGTGTGTGTGTGTGTGTGTGTGTGTGTGTGTGTGTGCGTGCGTGCCCAAAATCCTGAGAGAGGAGAATGGAGAAAGGATTATAGCAATCTCCCCTGCCCCCAGGTCACGGTGTGTGTGTCTCTGTGTGTGGAGGGGGTGGGAGGGGTGATTTTTCTCTTTCCTTCTCTCTCTCAAGCATATACACCCAACAGGGAAAAAATAAAATAAAACTAAAAAGAAGTAAAAGCATATTCTCAAAACTCACGCCTGGCACGTGTGCGTATGTGCCCAAGATCCCGAGAGAAGAATGGAGGAGAAGAGATTGCGGCGTGACCATCCCCCCTGGGGGGTGATTTCTCACTTTCTGTCTCTCTGTCTCGCTCTGTCTTTCTGACTAACACACACACCCTATAGCAAAAACCTTTCAAAACAAACAAACAACAACAAAAACAATAAATGTATGAAATAATAAAAATTCCACTAATCTGATATTGTCCAGAAATTCCCAAACCTAATCAGAATCATCTTATTTAAAATGTTTATTAAACAATACACTAAAAATAAAAGCTTCCGTGCTTACTATCAACTTCTCAAATCAGAACACCCAGGATTATTCTGGGGTGAGTCCCAGAATCTATTAGATTGTTGGAAAAGAAATGACGTATTTTTCTGTTTTTCTCTGCAAAAATGCATCATGACTTTTCCGACAACCTAACGTATTTCCAAAACTCCCAGGTGATTGAAGTGATTGTGAACATTCGGAAATGACCAAATGAGAATGGTTTGTAATTAAATTTCTTAATATTCTTAAGTAGATGCTTCTAATGGGTTTGAAAACAGTTTTTTCACATAAATATCTCATCTGAAATTACATTTATAAGGCTAAATGTTTTACTGGTCCCTGTTATCAAAGACAAACAAAGGATGCTTCTCATAGACCTCCTCAGGTTTTTATCTTGTAAATTAAACGCAAAGACAACAACAATGACTTAGTAATATATTTCTTTCTACAGATATGGCATTTTTGTACCAAAACTAGGCTTATTTAATTTTTCTATGTTAAAATCAAAGAAACTTGTGTAAATTCTGTTTTATTAACACTCTATTTTCAAGCTAGTGAGAAAGGTAATAAGTCTGGGAAGGGAATGCCTGAGATTATCGGAGACATCCCGTTTTAATATTTTCATTCACTATATCACAACATGCAAACACTAGGCCATGAGTCTTAAAAGTTTAGATTAAGAGCAAATGCTCATGGGGCCTGCATGTAGCATGATGGTTGAGGCTCTGGACTCTCATATGACTGAGTGCGGTTCGAGTCCTGGACCTAGTGACTTACTTTCTCACTTTCTCTCCCTCTCTCTCTTTCTGGTAAGCATATGTGCCCTATAGCAAACTTTAAAGATAAAATAACAATAATAAATAAAATTAATAAATAGTTTTTTTTTAATTTTTTCAAGAGAGCCAATGGTCATTCTACTTAACATTTCTCAAAACCAGTATTTGAAAAATCTCTCTCTTTATTTTTGGCTCAAAAAATCCCCTTGATTTGGAAATACTAATTATAAGAAATTTTCAAAGATATAATTGTTAAGCATGTTTGTTTTTAGTTTTGCTGTTGTTTTTAACCAAGAAATTGATGCGCAATTTTAGCATAGGAGTTAGACCCCTAGACTTCTGATAAATGGTACTGAAATTTCAGTTTTACTGAAATTTTACTTTATTTTTATTTTATTTTCCAATTCTGTCATGACACTTATTTTCTGCCTTTTGAATAAGCTAAAAAAGAAAAAAATATTTCTATTTGGAAAAAAGCTGAGGAAAACTGGATTTTATATTTTTAATTAAAATAGGAGTTCTAGTGATAAGGAGTCTGTCACTCTGTGTTTTTAAAATTTGAGGTTTTCCTTTATTCAACTGGTCACTGAGCTATGTAATACTTCAGTCTCAGCTTCCTGATATTAATTTATATTTATTACTGTAACATAATGTGACCGGGAATATTGACTACGCCTTTGTGAGAAATACTCCTTTAAAGGTATCAGTATCACTCAGACTGTGTGGAAATGTAATCTAGACAGGCTGCTAGATGCTCTCAGTGAAGAATATGCAGTGCCCTCATTACCATAACCAGGGCAGCTCAGTTCCTGAGGCAGCTGTGGGCACCTGCCTTGAAGTGCTTTCACCCTATTAAAATTCTGCTCACATCAGTTGATTTGATGGTCATTCCAGATTGACTGCATCTGGAACTGTTCTTCTGGTGCATGAGTTAAAACCATAACCTTACTTTGTAGGAAAACTCTAGCTTTCCTACACCAGTTCTACAATATTGAAAATTCTCCTTTGTATATTACAACTCAATACCACTTTGCCTTAAAAATAATCTCTTTTGGAATCTTATTTAATTTAATGAATGACTCCTTTATCTGCAGATTTCTCAAAGGATAATTCTGTTTCCTGCTCTCTGCAAGGAGAAAACGAATGTCTTATTACATTCTTACTAACTACGGACAATGAGGGGAAAACCATCATTCACAGCATCGACGAGAAAGGTAGGTGGCTTGCCTTACACTGTCGATGGCAGTGGACACTACATGAGAGGAAACAAACAAACAAACAAAAACAACAACTGAAAAGTTCTTTGGGTAGCTTGCCAGGAAAGAGATTTCCAAATTTTTGCCGAAGTGCCTCTGCTTTCCCAAAGATTGAAAGGTACACGTTAGAAGGTTTTATATGTTCCAGTGTCTCTTATTAGAACCAGATAACAAGATGACTTGTATTCGTGCCAATCATCCTCTCCCCAAAAGTGAATAAATTACAGAAAGGTGTCCTAGTCTGTTTTGTTGCTAGTAAGAGAGAATGACCCTGTGTCCGATAATTTAAGAGAATAGAGACTTACTCAGTTCAGAGTTTGGGAGGCCAGGGGCCAGGAGCTAAACCTGGTAAGAGCCTTCCTGATGAAGGGGTTCTGAGGTTGTGCAGGGTATCACATTGTGAAAGGAGCACATATCTCTGTATTCATGAGTCTGTCTGTCTCATTCCCTCTCCTTATAAACCTACCAAGAGTTAATGATGGGAGCCCCCATGCTTTTTCTTTTTCTTTCTTTTTTTTTTTAAGAGGTGTTATGCTATAGGGCACGTGCGCTTGCCAGAAACACAGAGAGACAGAAAGCAAGTAATCCCCCCCCAGGGGAGATGGTTATGCCGCAATCCCTTCTCCTTCATTTTCCTCTCGGGATCTTGGGCACGTACGCACATGTGCCTGGCGTGAGTTTAAGCCACCAGGTTCAGGACTCGAACTGTAGTCGACTACATGGGAGTCCAGTGATATAGCCATTATGCCAACTGCTGGTCCTTGGGGCCCCCATTCTAATGACCTTATTCCCAATCTCCTCCCATAGGCCCCACCTTTCAATACCATAGCTGATTCAGTTTTCATCCTCCAAATCTCATCACAATCAAATCAGCACATGCTGTGTGTGTGTGTGTGTGTGTGTGTGTGTGTGTGTGTGTTGGGGGGATATTCGAACCATAGTAAAGGTAGACCAGATGACATGTAAGCCATAGTTATGTTTATATAAAAAGGGCTAACAGGAGTGTAGCAGTTGCTTAAAAACGAGTTTGAATAGGGCACACCTTTGTTCAAACCCTGTTCCACCAATTCATAGCTTCTTGACATTCTGTAAGATACTTGCCTCTCTGAGTCTCTACTCCCTCATCTGTAAAAAGGAGAAAATAATAGTACTTTCTTCTGAAGGCGGAATCAAGGATTAAATGGCATAATGCATGTAAAACGTGACAATCCTAAACTTACAGTGACAGGTCATTAAATGGTAAGGCTGAATCAGAAAAGACATTAAGCAGTAAGGAAGGAAGGATGTGATCTATAAAGTTTGTAAAGGGTGCATTGCCTCTGTGGATTTTTATTTACATTATCTCATGGAATCAGTTTGAACTTGAGAAAGACTCAAGTAAAAATCAGATTCAGCAAAGGGGAGAGAGAAGAAAGTAGCACAGAAGGTATGTTTGCTGAGAAATTTCAGTCAGTACCAGACTCTCCTGGGGAGCTGAGCTTGTTAAAGATATCAGTATCCTGCATCAGCAGGTCTGATGTGTGGCCTGGGACTCTGTGTCTTAACATCTACCTGAAGTCCCTAATACAGATGGTCCCTAAGCAACTGCCCTGGCTGCATTCTCAGATACACACAAGCACTTCCCACTTCCTGACTCCAGTTAATCCTGTGTCTCTCCTAGACCTTTCCTGTAGAAATGACAGCTGCATTAAATCAGATCTCGCCCAATCTGCTGGCAACCTCCTCCCTTCCTGAAAAGTTTTGAGCCTAAGTTCTGCCACAGACAATGGCAGCACCGTAAGGCAGATGTGTTTGTCGTGTGTGTTTGCTTATCAATGCGCTGATAAATTAGTAAGGCTGCATTTAAAACCAAGGGTATCAAATTGGCATCACTGGGCAAGCTCTCAAGAGAAGTGAGATCCCACATGGCAACTACAGCTTGAATCCCCAGCCAGGTCAACCTGAAAATGCCAGGCGTGTGCAAAACTCCCCAGGATCTGACAGGTTGAAGGACTGGAGGAAGGGGATCATGGCAGGACCAGACGCTGTGGAGGGTATTCTTCTCTTTTTTCTCTCACTGTAATGTGCATGCACACACTCTACTATGAATAAAGAAAACAATATTTTAAAAAATTAAAATCACTTAGGAGTATAAAAACCATTAAGCTGGCCTATAGTGCAGTGCATCAGGAGCCAGATCCCACATAGCCAACTGGGGTTTGAATCTCTGCCATGGCAGCTCAGAAAACAAGCTGGGCACATGTGTGTGAGTATCCCAAATCCTGACAGGATGGAGAAACAGAGGAAAATTATTTCAAGTTGACTGCATACTATGGGGGATGCCTTCCTTTTCTCTCTCTGGTGAGCATATGCACTCTCTGGCAATAAAAACAAAACAAAACTAATCTAGAAAACCAAAGCAACACTAAAGTGGCCAAAAAAGTAGATTCAAGACATTATAACCCCATCAAGAAACTATGATCAGAAAAATATCGCATTGCACTGCAAAGGGCAAGGGAGAGATAAAGGTCAACACAATCAAAGAAATTCAAGGATGAGCGTGAACTTGGCCTTGAAGCTCAGGTCAGCAGAGTGCTCCTGGAGACTCACTCTTTAAAAATCTCATGTAAATCGGGAACCAGCAGTTAGCGTAATGGCTATGTCGCTGGACTCCCACGTAGCCGACCGCGGTTCGTGTCCCAGACCCGGTGGCTTAAAACTCACGCCGGGCGCGTGTGCGTGCGTGCCCAAGATCCCGAGAGGAGAATGGAGGAGAAGGGATTGCGGCGTGACCATCTCCCCTGGGGGGTGATTTCTCGCTTTCTGTCTCTATGTCTCTCTCTGTCTGTCTGGCGAGCGCACACGCCCTACAGTGAAAATCTCTCTCCAAAAAAAAAAAAAAAAAAATCTCATGTAAATTGACTTCTCTCAAATGCATACATAAAGTGCATCTGGCGGCCATTAGTTAATGAAACATAAGGTGAATCCTGCTGTACCAAAAAAAAAAAAAAAATTATAATACGAAACTCGCCTCCACATTGTCTTTGTTATAGCCGTAGTCTCCAATGTACTGTCTGTGACTAGCAAGTTATCTTGAAATCAAAGCCGTCTCTTATAATACTGATGCTATTGGAAGAATGAGTTCTGAACAGCAAAAACAAGTTTCCAGAATAGGCTCTGTTTTTAATTCAGAGGCTTTTGTATCTAGTTGGTATGATTTCTTTCTTTTCCTTTTCTTTTTCGGTGAGACATGCCTTTGGCTGATAAATGCTGCCTCATTACTGTTGTCTGTTCTCTTATTGTTCCGCACAAGATGCGTGGCACAGCAACAGGCCATCCTTCAGAGGCTGCACAGTGCCCTGCTGTCTTTTTATTACGGCATTCTATTATCCCTCTGCTATTGCAGTAGGAAAAAAATGACCTCCCTGAGGCTTAGCAGCCGGCACCTGACAGTCCTTGGATGTCTCTTCCTCAAAAGATGCTCTTCCTGATAGACCAGGAGCCCCCAGGGCACAGCCTGTCCCCACTCTCACAGCTGTAAGACCAGAGAATCCCAGCGAGGTCAGCCCAAGGTTTGGATAGAAAAAGCGGCAACATGAAGAGGCAGGGGAGAGGAGGTTAATGATTGCCAGAGTCTTCTGACACGTTGTAAGGAGGAACCACCAAGGGAAGAGTGCTTGTAGAGAGAGAGCTTCGGACATCTTCTTTCTTACTTGCAGGGCATAAGAGCCACACCAGGGTCAAGAACTGATGGCTGAGGAGCCTCCCTGGTGGAAGTACCGACTGGTGTAGCTGTTACACCCACAGGCTCCAGCTTGGAAGTTCCAGGGCATTGCAGTCTGGAAGACAGAAAAAGGGAAACGTGCACCTGCTATATAGTAATACTAAAGTAATACTAAAAATAATAGAATTGAGGCCAGCAGGTGCTATTTTGGTTGAGGGCACTGAACTCTCACATGGCTGACAGTTCAAATTCAGGACCTGGCAACTTGATTTCCTACTTTCTCCTCTCTCTCTCTCCCTCTCTCTCTCTCTTTCTCTCTCTCTCTCTCTATCTATCTTTCTTACTCTGTCCATCTCTGGTCAAATTAAAATAAATACATGAATAAATAAAGTTAAATAAAATAATTCTTTAAAAAAATAATAATAGACTAGCGACTCTCCTTTTATCAACCCCTTACTCCTTCTTTATGCCAGGTATCATTCTGCATGTTTTACATGTATCAGTTCACTAAATCTCCTCAACAACTATGCAAAGCAGTCACGTCACTACTATTATTTTTGTTTTATAGGTAAGGAAATTAAAGCATGGAGACATTAAGTACCAGAGCTGGTTGAGGGACTCTCACAGTCTGGTTTGAAGTCCATGCTCTTAACCACTGTACTATACTGCCTCCCACTGGCTGTTCAACCATAATAAATATCTGAATTCTGAAATGATGTTAGATCAGCATTGTGTAATCATATTGTTACACAAACTATATACGTAATTTTAACATTTTCTAGTATCACATTAAAAAGTAAAAAGACACAGATTAAATTATTTGCCATTATATTTAAAATATTGGCATTTCAACATGTAACCTATATAAAAATTATAAATGAGATTTTTTTAATGTCAGTTGTTTGAAATCAGTGTGTATTTGATACATAGAGTGCAACCCAGTTTGGAAAGATCCTATTTCAAGTGCACAATGGCCACATGTGATAGAACCACCAGGTGGGACAGCACAGCCATGTTAGAGACTCAGGACCTTAAAATTAAGCGTAGCGCTGTCCCAGACTCCATAGACAATGTTGCGCACAGTGACAAAGGTGCCCTTCTTCTCCCACCTAGAAATCTCTCTTAAAAAATAAAAAAAAAGAGAGAGAGAGAGAAATCCATCTTCAGTCTGAGTAGCTCAAGAAATAGCAAAGAGAATATAAGTAGTAAAGATGTCTGTTGTGTAATACCTACTCCGGTGCCTGGACGATTCCTGTGTACAATTCCCAAGGACTTCAAGTTCTCAAAATAAAGATGTCTGCCAGACCACACCTATCCCTCCTTTATTCCATTCTGGAGAGCCCTCCTAATTCACATTCTGGCTCCAGGGCCTTAGCAAGCTTCATCTTGCTTTGAACAGGAACACGCTCTGCCCCACCCCAGAGATTTCTTAGCCAAAGATGTAACCAGTATATTTGCTCATTGACACAAGCCTGCTGCCTTCTTTGCAGGAGTGTCGGTAACCTCTCAGAAGCAGCCATGGTTTATTTGCTGTGCTAGAATACAGTCTTTAGATCTTCTTACTGTAGTAGCTATGTTATTAGCTTCTTCGCTTACTTTTGCATAATCTCCTTACCTGGAATATTTCTGCCAAAGAACAAAGTGTGTAAGACCAGGAATCATGCTGGTAGGGGGTCATTAGTCCCACTCAGATTCAGATCAGCTATAGATCCTTACCTTAAAAGCAGCATGACTAGCCCTATGTGTATAACTCTCTTTATTAAACACCTAAAAGCAATAAAAGTAAGGACAAACTAAGCGTGATTCATTTCCTCCCCAAATATCATAGATTTTGCCACATGCCTTACAGAGATGGATGCAGATTTTTAATGATATTTTTTATGTGTTTTTTTTTCCATAAAAGCAAGAGGAGCCTTAATGATAATGCCTCATTAAGAAATGTATCATCTCCTAGGCATATTGCAAGGCTTATTAGTCATTCTGCTATCGATGAGGGAAGGTAGTATATAATTGCAAAAAGATATTAATATCATCAGTAGAGTCAAAGTAGCATTTCATAGGCTATTTAAGTTGAAATGACCATACAGAACATCTAATTTCCCAACCTTCCTTGAAGATAAGAATCATTTAAAATACCTTGATTAATAAAAAATGTGTGGCCTCATCCAAGGTCCAATGAATCAGAATCTTGGGCAAGGGGTCCAGGAAGCTATAGGTTTCATAAGCATGAATACCTCGACTTGTTGTTATTATCAGAAAAATTAAGAGAACTCTGAACTTCATTTTATGAATGAGGATTTTACACTCAGAGAGATCAATAGGCTTGATTGAATTCATGTAGCCACTGATATCAAGTAGAAATTGAACCTACTCTCTGACCTTTGCCCAGGAATTTTTTGGAAACAAGAGCACTACATTAGGGTCAAGAAAATAAAGCTGAGATTGGGTGCTTAAAAATAATAAGTAGAATAAAAATAAAATAATCTGAAAAAAAAAGAAAAGCTTTTTGCTGCTGAAGATGTGTATAGTAATGTCTTTTTCTTGATTGATATGCATGATATTCATGCTGGAAAAAGAAATGTTATACACTGTATATGTAATTACGTGTAATATAAAATATAATCATAAATAAGTAAATAAATATTTTAAAAAAGAAAATAAAGCCTTGGACCAGCAGTTGGCATAATGGCTATGTCACTGGACTCCCATACAGTTGACCGTGGTTCAAGTCCTGGACCCAGTGGCTTAAACTCATGCCAAGCACATGTACATACATGCCCAAGATCCCAAGAGAAGAATGGAGGAGAAGGGATTGCAGCATGGCCATCCCCCCTGGGGGGTGACATTTCACTTTTTCTCTCTGTCTCTCTGTCTTTCTGGAAAGTGCATGCACCCTATAGCAAAAACCTCTCAAAAAAAATTAAAAGAAAATTAAGCTGAAAAACATGATTGTCTATTAAAAAAGGAGCAAATAGTCCTCAGGAAATAGGTTTTTTATTAGACTGCTCATGATTCAAGATGATCCATGAAAAAGTTATTACATGTGCTTCCCCTTACACACAGACTTCTCTTTTGTACTTCTTTATGTAATCAGAAGAGACCATCTTTAGTAATTAAACCGTAGTCTTTTCTCATGACCCTTTAAAGTAGTCCATGTGTATTAATTGTCATTCTTTTGGGTTCTAACTCCTTTTAAGTCAACCAATGAGTATATACCCATTTACTTTGCATAGCTAAACTCTCTTTTATCCTATTTTGAAAGAATATAGGGCTCTCCTTCAACAAGTAATGTTTTTGTTATTATTTCAGCAAGACGGAAAGGTATCAATACTTACCCTCTATTGAAGAAAAAGTGTGGATGGAGAATTCAGTGAAAAATGTCTTTCCTATGTCAAAATGTTAAGTATACCACCGTCTCAACAAATTTTCTGTTCACACAGATTGTCCAAAACCTCCAAACATTCCCATGATCATGTTGGGTGTTTCTCTAGCCATTCTTCTCATCGGGGTTGTCCTGTTGTGCATTTGGAAGCTGCTGGTTTCGTTCCATGATCGTAAAGAAGTTGCCAAGTTTGAAGCAGAACGATCAAAGGCCAAGTGGCAAACGGTATGTGAACACTTAGGGCTACTCCTTGTCCAGGGAAGAAATGACCTGGTGGAAGAGATTGGGGTAGGCGGGATGCTTTCTCTGCTCTAAAAGAGTTTGAATGTCATGGTTTCCCCCACCACCACCACTCTTACCATGACCCCAACAGTTTTGCTTTTTCTGCTCCAGAACAAAGGAACTGCCCATAATCTGGACCCTGATGGGACTCACAATATGTATTTGTCTCTCAGTGTAGCAGGGACTTCCATCAGTCTGAGAAGTCTCATGAAACTTCTGATGTAGTTAGATCATCAGGAAGTATATTTGATTTGTACTGCCTCATCACTCAGAGGATCCACCAGCCCCATTTGATAAAGCTTAGATGCTATATCTAAAGATGTCCCTAAATTAATTATGTTATACTTAATGGATAATGTCAATTAATAGTACGACAGTTCGTGCCAATTTTCATGGAAATCTTTGTTACTTGTAAAATCAGTTACAAAACAAAGTTGAGAAGGCTTTTTCAATCCCATGCAGTCAGTTTTTTCTGAATAACTTATATTTTAAACAGCTACCTGAAGAAAACATTAAGTAACAACTTTTAAATATATATTCTCAAAAATAATTTTTTTTTCACAGTAGACAAATAAAAAACAGGACTATAATTTTCTGTGTTTCTTTCCCACAGGAGAGATAATTACATTTTTAGAGACCCATAGAAACAATTTCATGGTTTTAATTTCATCTCTTTATCTCTAATGGTGTGTCCGGCCATCTAATAGCAATTATCTTATGTTGCTGATTCTAAAAACAGTGCCATCACAGGAGAAAATATAGGCAAACACAACGCTCCTTTGAGTTCATCTGCCCAAATAAATTGATGTTAACACTTTTTCCTTAAAGTCTATAGCAATATCTTCAATTCCTAAAGCAAATGGAATTTTCTGCTTTGGATAACTTTATCTTGATAAGGTATGTTTATATCTGTGCAATTATTTCAAACCAATACATGGTGCAGGACAATGGACAATGAAAATTTTCCATCTACTCTATCTTCCCATTAAAAATGTCTTGAGACAAAACAACCAAATGCAACACATGGATCTTGTTCAGATCTTGATTTGAATGATCAAACTGTAAAAATACATTTTTAAAACAAGTGGAAAAAGTCAATACACACCAGGTCTTAAAATGATAGCACAGGGAACCAGCAGTTAGCATAATGGCTATGTCGCTGGATTCCCACGTAGTCGACCGCGGTTCGCGTCCTGGACCCGGTGGCTTAGAACTCACGCCAGGCGTGTGTGCGTGCATGCCCAAGATCCCGAGAGAAGAATGGAGGAGAAGGGATTGCGGCGTGACCATCCCCCCTGGGGGGTGATTTCTCGCTTTCTGTCTCTATGTCTCTGTCTGTCTGGCGAGCGCACACGCCCTATAGCGAAAACCTCTCCAAAAAAAAAATGATAGCACAGGGACCAGTAAATGGTGTGATGGTTACACCACTAGACTCCCATGTGGCTGACCGCAGTTTGAGTCCCAAATGTGGCAACTTGAAACTCACATCCAGCGTGTGTACATGCATGCCCAAAATCCCAAGAGGAGAATGGAGAAGAGACTGTAGTGTGACCATCTCCCCTGGGGGGGATACTTCTCACTTTCTGTCTCTCTGGTGTGCACATGCTCACTATAGCAAAAATCTCTCTTTAAAAAAAATAACAAAGAAGCATGGTTAATTTGATGAGATATAATGACTTTCCTAGAAAATGTTCATATATTTTACCATAGGGCGGGCGCCACCACACCCAAATGTTCATATGTTTTAGATCTGCATACTGAAGTATATGGGAACAAAAGAAAATGAAGGCTGGGGTTTTCTTCAAAATAATTCCCTGAGAGAGCGAGAGCAAGAAGAAGTGATAGTGAAAGCAAGCTTGGCAAAATCATAGTCATTGTTGGATCTGGATAATAGGTCCATTGAATTTGTTAAATAGCTTTCTTCTTTTTGTATATGTGTAGATTTTTCATAATTAAGCAAAATCCTTAGGAAAGTATGTAATGGATTTGCAATGAAGGTATATTTTACCCGTCCCTAACAATGTAAAGGGTAGCCTAACAGGTTTGCTTAGTGACTTAGAACATGGTGCTAATGAGGTCAAAGTTGTGGGATGGGTAACATCACTTGATCTCATGGGCATGAATGTTATTTTTAACCTTCACCAACTGATAAGCCAATGCCTGGCAATGGTCAGAAGGGCAACCTGGCAAAAGGATGTGCAGAAGTTGGCACAAAGAGCAATAGCAGCAGCAGTTAGTTGAACAACCTCTAGTCCTATGAAGGCATCTTGGTATTCTCATTTTGAAGGTAGGTAAACTGAGGCCCACAGAGCTTAAAGGACTTTCCAAACTCTTGCCGCATGGTGGAATGGAAATCCTAATTGTCCAATGTTTTTCCAAGCCTAGCCTTTGGTTGACCCTCCTAGAAATAATAAGCAGGTGCTCTGAAAGCAAGCACTTAGGCAATTATGTGATGTGTATCTACTAACCAGCACATTTTAATGTTCTCATACAAAAGCATGAGTACTGACACGTGATTAATATCTTTAAAATAACATTTTAATTAACAGTTAATTTCCCCCAAAACATGAATTGTTCTCTCTCAGGATGAAGAACATGACTAAAATTCAAATGCTGAATTTTGCTGTTTCTTCATCTAAAATGGGGCCAAAACATGCATTAAATAGATAAAAGCATAAATGAAAAATATTATTTCCTTGTTAAACTGAGTTTCTTTGAGTAACGAATGTTTGATGTCCCTGACTAGATAATGAATGGGTAATAATTATTCACTTGGACGCAGAGGAGGTTTAATTCAAATAACTCAGTTCAAATTTCACTAATATATCCTACTGGAAAGAAAATTGTTCCTCAGTGCATACACTTAGGGGTCTTCAATTTAATTCAGCTTTTATCTAAAACCTATTTCTTCTTTATGAGGTGAATTTGGCTGGTCTTCTTCCCTACCACCCCTGGAGGTCACCTGACCTATAGGGCCTCTGTAGGTACAGAGCTCAGGATAGAAAGACTTGCACTCTTGCTTCCTAAAATATATCATTATAGCTGTAAAGAAAGGTTAACTTTTTGTTACTCCTCAAAAAATAACACACACATGCAGATTCTTTATGAAAACACAAATGGAAGGTATTTAAATTCATCTTTGATTAGACATTTTTTCTAGGATGACAAGTCATTAACTCGAGGCAAAAAATGTTCAGCTTGACATTTCTTGCAGTCATGGATTGATTTTGTACTGCACTAAGCACATCAGGTCTGCATTTGGCAGTTAGGCAATCATTAGGGACGCTGTGGGTCATGACAGAGAGTTTTCTTATTAGTACTTATACGCACTAGAAAAATGTACCTTTGCATTTGCAGAATTCACAGCCCAAATGAGCACCCCAAAAGTCCAGGAGGAATCAGCCTGATCACCTTAGATGGCTAGGGAAAAACTTGCCTTGTCTAAACAGTGGCATGCAGACTTACCTGAAATGAAGCAGTCCCTAGCTGGAAATCACAGATAGGGTCGTTGCAACCTGCTTAACTCCACAGGAGACAGAACTGGACATTTCCACATTTCCTCCTGCTAATGCAGCCCATTGTAAGCAAATCTCCTGAGTCTGATTACCAGCTGAAGAAAAGAAACACTCTGCTGCACACCCCAACAGCCCATGCATAGTGCTCTTCCCCCCATTTTTTTTTTTCAAAGAGAGACTTTCACTATAGGGCATGCTGGAGAGACAGAGAGACAGAAAGCGAGAAATCACCCCCCACGGGGATGGCCATGCCACAATCCCTTCTCCTCCATTCTCCTCTCAGGATCTTGCATATGCATGTACATATACCTGGCACGAATTTTCAGCCTCCAGGTCGAGGACTTGAACCACAGTCAGCCATGTGGGAGTCCAGCTACATAATCATTATACTATCTGCTGGTCCCATTCTTCTCCTATTTTAACATTGCCACCTTAGCCTCCTACCTCCACCTTAGACTCCTCCTCCACGGTGGAGTCTATTTTATGCATCACCTCCTGTAAGCAATGCCTTGGTCTATATCTAGATTCACAAACCCCCTCCACCCCACCCCCACAATATTGCAGGTCTAAATAAATGAAGTTCCTTTAAAATACAGAGTGAAATCTACACAATCAAAATGAAGCATTCAACAGAATATCTATGAAATAATATTGTGTTGTTCTGTCTGTTGCAACTCAAGTCATCTCTTTTATAATGCATAGAAATTATAGCGTGGAGTGTGGGTGTCTTTTAGTGTGTTTGGCACCATATGGGATAGAGCCTACGAACAAGTGCATGGTTCTGCGGCGATCTAATCCGGCCCTGCCCACAACCTGTTCATTTTCAGCGTATCTTTTCTGTTCACTGAGGTTCCTTCTTCCTTCAGGACAGGCCAGCTGTCATCTGTAGCCTGCACCTCTTATTTTTACCTTTTTTCTTCTATTGAGTTTCTTATTCTTCTATAAAACCAAACAACTTCTAATCCTTCAATGAAATAAAATTCTACACACGATTGTTTGCAAATGAGAATCTAAAACCTCATCAGTTTACTCTTTGTCATCCAAATTTCAAATTTTTATGTCAAGAGGACTAAACAAGGACTAGAGGCCCACCAGATTTTTCCAGACTGATCTCAAGAGTAGAAGCACTATGACTACCTGATCTTCACCTATCACCCTCTGCCAACAAAGAACCTCTTTTCTACCTGCCCTCATTACAGAGATAGCATCACTCTTCAAAGGCTTGTAAACAAAGGTAGAATGTCACTCAGTCAGAGGTCAGACGTTGGCCCTGCAGGTGCAGGTGTGACCCTTCCTCCCAGTGAAGACACTGAGGCATGTCCAAGGGCAGTCAGTGTGAGTGCTCAGGGAATGCTTTCAGTTTTATTCAGTTCTTATAAGAGTTGAAAGAAATGTACTATCAGAGAAAATACAATTGTGTTTCTTCTGTGCTTCCTCCTCAATATAAGCTTAGAAATTGCTACTATCTCTACAATTCATGGAATAAGGAGACCAAAGTATAAGCTTTAGTAACTTAGAAAGTCAAAGGTAATTTCTGGACTCCACACCTACTAAGTGAACTTGGAAATGTGAAAAAATTTTACCAAAGCTCTGGGGGAAAATATCTTTATAACCATCTCCAGGACCTAGAAGAAATCTCCAGGACAGAAATTCCAAGTGTACAGAGAAGCTATAAATAAAAATTAATGAGAACAAGCAGGATTTATTGAGCATTTCCTAAGTACCATGCCTAGTGCCAAAGTTCTTTACCTCATGGATGGTTTCGTTGTTTGTTTGTTTTAGTTTGCTATGGAGCTCATTTACTCACTGAGGAGAGAGAGGGAGAAAGTGAGAAAGCATCCCCTTCAGGGGATAGCCATACTGCAACTCTCTTCTCAGGACTTCGGGCACTCTTCCCCACATGCCTGGATGATTTTTAAACTGTCAGGTCTAGGACTTGAACCGCACAGTCAGCCATGTGGGATCCTGCCTCCTTAGCCTCCCCATTATCTAATGGCCCACTTCATGGACAATTAATCTTTCCATTGTAGATGAGGCCATCAGGGCTTGGAGTTGCTTAAGTAAGGTCAAAAAGTGAAGCTGAATGTAAAACCCAGGCTGTCTGATGCCAAAGACTATACAGTCAACCTTAGAAAATGGGGGGGGGAGGGTGGGAACAACTCTCTCTTCTCTAAACTCTTTCCTCCTGCCTGAAACAAGTAGAGAGGTTTGGGGTTTGGTACATTAGGTCCTTTTAGTCATGCCAACACTCTGTTGGCACCTGGAAGCACATGTGCAGTGCCAACTGCACAGCTGGGCTTTCCAGACACAGGTACCCAACCTCCCCACTGCCCCAAGGTCACAGGGATGTTGCTCAGCCTGCTTTGAGACTCCTACTCTTTCACAGACTTAGGGCTCCACATACCACCTCCTGCAGGTCTCTACTTCATGCATTCTTTTATCTAGCAAACAAAAGTCAGCTAGTTCTTTTGCTTTCCATAGCAACTATTATCTGTCTGGTGATTTTCCCCCCGTGCTCCCAAGTATTTAATTGCTCCTCCTTCTGTATTTTGATCTCATTTTCCCCAAGATTATCTGTCCTTATTTGATGCCTCTCATCAATAGCACATTTCTTTAAAGGAAAATACTGTGTTGTTCCCTTTTGAATGTTTCCACTACTTTCACTTATTCATGTTTTGCTCTTGTACTTCACGTTTTACTTTTGGTTCAACAAGCAGTGTTCATTTCACTTATTCAATTCAATACATACTAATTATCTCCTATGGGCGAGGCACTATTCTCCGTGCTGGGAAAATGGCAGTGCACAAAACAGCTGAGGTCTTATTTTCTATCCGTGAATTAGGACATTTCCAAAAGGGTAAGATTTTTAGAAAACACACATGAGACTGGTTCTGCATATTAAAAAAAGAAAATGAAGATGTGTACATTTTAAAGTGCTAAAAGTATGAAATACCAGATTAATCAAAGTTAGTCCAATGGCTCCCAAGATTGAATTTGACTCTCCTCTGTCAATTTTTACTATAATAAAATTATTCAGTGATCTTAAACAGTATAATAACAAAATGTGTATTTTTTTTAATCTTTCCCCCCCCCCCCCAGGGAACAAATCCACTTTACAGAGGCTCTACCAGTACTTTCAAAAATGTAACCTATAAACACAGAGAAAAACAAAAGGTGGACCTTTCCACGGATGGCTGAAACTACTTTACACATGGAAAAAGGCTGTTTCACCGATATAAAATGTTAATGCACTATTTAATTTTTCTTTCTTTGTTGTTTCAAATTGAGGTTGGTTTAAGATAATAGTAGGTCATTGGGAGATCAGTCATTCTCTGTTTGAAGGTGAGAGACTATGTTGGCAGGTTCAAAATAATCTAGAAGAGGAATATCTTTAGCAAAGAGGTGACTTTGGGGATCATTTGAAGAATATACTCTGTTGTATTAATGCTTCAAAAAATCATCAAAATGATTCATGGGGGCCTGCTTTGCATCTGAAAAGTGTTTAATATTAGAATCTCATTTGTTGCAGGAATTCAGCTACCTGAAATCTGTCTCAACAAAGTTACAAAGTCCATATGCCTACACTGTAAAATCACATTTGCTAATTAATTCTAAATTTTTAGTAAATATGCCCTTTCCTAAAGGAAGACTTTTTTTAAGTCTATGAGAAATAAGATTCTGATTTTATATCAGCAGAGTGGATCCAATTGCCTTAAAGATAAGTCAAATGTAGGGATTGAAAATTAAGTATTAGTGATTTCTGTGAATTTGTTTGCTCCTAAAAGACAGTTATACAAACAAGTATTCTATTTGTTTGATAGATGAGGAAGAAATAACTTACAAATTAAGTTACTTTATAAATTAAATTAAGTTAAATTAAGAAGTCACTAGTGAAAAACAAAGATTACAGCCCTATCATTTAGGTAATTTTTAAATTACCTGAATAACAATCTTTTACATTCAGTTTCTTTCTTGACTCTGGGTTCACTCTTCCATATTTCTCAATCTGTTTTACTCAGTTTCATCACCTTCTAAACCAGGTCATTGTAATATAATTTTTTTTTATTTTTTAAATTTCATTTAAATGGTTAGGTACTTATTCAAAGGCAGCTCCAATAATATAAAAGAAACATGGGTTAAATACAATAAGATTCTTATTTTTGAAGAAGCTTTTGCTATAGGGTGTGTACACTTGCCAGAAAGACAGAGAGAGACAGAAAGACAGAAAGCGAGAAATCACCCCCCAGGGTGTATGGTCACACCACAATCCCTTCTCCTCCATTCTCTTCTGGGGGTCTTGGGCATGCACTCCTGGTGTGAGTTTAAGCCACCAGGTCCGGGACTCAAACCATGGTCAACTACATGAGAGTCCAGTGACATAGTCATTATGCCATCTGTTGGTCCCACAATAAGATTTTAAGTAGCTTTAAACCACACATATCAAGAGTGTACAGCACCCATGATTTACAGGCTTTTTAATATGTATTAATTTTCCATCTGCATAATCTAGCATGTACATTTCAGCTGTCTGAGGTGGATATACGTCATATATTTTACTTGGAAAATATATGTGGACAATTAGAGATCCATCGCTGGTTGAAGAAATACTCTAGCATATTTCTTAGGGTTATTATTGCTTGACAAAGCACTTTCCTCTTATTTGATCCTCCTAAGGAAACTAAGGTGAGAGACTGAGTAGAACTGGATTTAGAAACTAGACTTTCTAACTCCAAGCCACTGCCTATTTCCACTGCGTGAGACTGCCTCTTTCATAAAGAAATGATGGAAAGATTGTGTTAGTTAAGCAATAACTATCATCTGTGTAAAAATGTACTGAGACTAAACAAATAGCATCTGAACTGCTGATGTACAGGTGAGCTACTGCACTTCAGTGCAATGTTTATTATCATTGATTAAACTGTAACACGAAGCCTTTCACTGGGTGAATAGTATAGTCTGTAATGGAGGCTTCATGGTCATCTATTGCTTTGTCATAGTGTAATCTACTAATTTCTGCAATTCTACTAGATATTTGTGTGTGCATTTGAATGCCAGGGGACTCTTTTCTCATTTCTAAGTAACTCAGGTAAATCAGACATTTAGGGAGTACATGGCTGTATGAGACAAGGTTGCTCAACAATCACCTTGAGGTTCTGAAAGGCGAATGTGCCTCTTTCGTTCCTGGCTGATGCCCGCCCCCTAGAGAAAGTCCAGAACAACAGCCCAGGTGGAATACTGAGGACACCCTAGGAGCAGTCACCTCTGCAAGGGACTTCTTGGGGGGTATTTTTGTATTATTACTAGAATGGGATTTTAGCAAATAGATGTTTCTTTTTGTGTGCATTAGAGAAGGTAGAGAAGAATCTGCTCTTTCTCTTAATACTGTTTTGACCCAAGGCAGGACCTTGAAATGGCCAAAACATTAACATTAGTACTTCTGTTCACTGAAGAGTTATGTTACATGAAGATAAAGTGGTTTTTTTGTAAGTTCTTTTATTGTATTTTGTGTTGACATAAATAAATATGGTAATTTAAACAATGAACTTTAGATGGATGATAATTCCTTTTGTTTACCTGGTACAAAACCCTCATCTTGGATTTCTGGATCCCTCTGACTGCCTTGCTGGTCTCAGTCTTGGGCCAGGGAAGAACTAGAAAGAGACAGCCTAGAGGGAGGAGGCAGCAGGGATTGGCTGTGACTCATTGCCTAGATACATGAGGCCTTGTAACACAGACTCTGGCATTACCCCCACATTTTGTAAAATCAAACTACTTAGGGTTAATGTTACATGTTAACATGTATCCCTCTCCCACCTCAGCCTTGGCCCTGTCAAATTAATGTCTTGAATTCTTAACTCCCAGTGTCTTATAATATGACCATGTGATTCTTTAAAGAAGAAACTAAGGTAAAATAAGGTCATAGAATTGGGCCCTAATCTAATATGACAAGTGTCCTTATAACCAGAGAAGATTAGGATACAGGCATGTACAGGGGAAAGACCATGTGAAGACAAAGGGAGAAAGTGACCATCTACAAACCAAGGAAAGACATATCAGAAGAAACCGATAGTACTAACATCTCAGTTTTGGACTTCCAGCCTCCCGAACTGTCAGAAAATCAATTTCTGTTGTTTACGCCACCTGGTCTGTGGTATTTTGTTATGGTATCCCTAGAAAACTCATACAGTCTTCCAGTTCTATTTTTCTAGGCATCCAGTTGATACATTCTGTTATAACATGATCATTTTCTAAACAAACAAACAAAAATATTAAGCATAGAGAGACCAAATGCTCACAAAAGGAGTCAGTTTAGTCCTTTCCTTGAAAAAACTCATTTCAAGCAAAAGAATAGGCAAAGTCAAGTGAAGAGTACTCATATTCTAAAATATACTGTTTCTTATAGACTATAGATCAGAAGTCAGGAAATACAGAAAATGCATTCATTTTGAATAGCACTGAGTAAGTCACTCTTCTCCTTAAATTTCCCATCTGTGAGATAGTGGCAATACCTGTCCTTTCTAGCACTCATACACTCCCTAATACATAGTAGGGACTTGATAAATTCATTCAACAAATATTTACTGAGTTGCCCAGTATATGCCAGGCACTGTTCTTTTGATGATGCATGTAGTGAATGGTGAAGAAAACAAGCAGTCTTGAAGCTCCCGAATGAGAGAAGAGACAATAAACAAATAAGAATACTAGTTCAGGGTACTGGACCCAGTTTATGCACATTCCAGATCCACTTGGCCCCACTTGCCTCCCAGGCCTGTGCTAGGAGTGTGTCCAGCACCAATTTGCACAGACCACTCGGGAGAAAAGCCTCAGTTTCCATATAACTCCTAACAGGTGAAGCTGCAACAATTTTTGTGCCCAAGGCCTCAGTGGCTTCCTTGGCTGCTGACCCAAGGGAGCACATAGCACAACAGACAAGTGCAGGGAAGTAAGCATGAACATAGATCACCAAGAGGCAGAGATGGGAAGGAACTAACAGATGCAACTGAGCCAACCATGGTGTTTTCAACAAAAGCTATAGCCAACTTCCTATGTATCATCACAGCCAGTGTTCCCTGATTCTCTGCCTCCCAGTACTTTTTTCCACGGTATGGCATCTCCCAATAAACCATGAACACGTAACTTTGCTTCAGGTTCTTGATTTACAGGGAGCCCGAGCTAAGACTGTGCAACGGCCATAAGGGCTACACAGAACATAAAACAAGATGGGGACAGACAGTGGAGCAGTGGTAAAACGTGACTCTAAGACTCTGGCCCACATGGGAAGGTTTCAGGTTCACATCATGAGATATCCCGAGTACACCAGGCACAAGGGTGCCCATGATCTGAGGCTGGCTGAAACCGGGAGTGGATTGCAGCATCAAGACCCTATTGAGGGTGTTCTCTCTGACTTTGTTTCTCTTTCTCTTACTCACAAAAGAAAGAAATGTCAAAGAACCTGAGGTTAGAGAAAGAGCACACAATCCCCTATGATGGTCCATCCTTAGAGTTATAATTTTTGAGTAGAGATCTAAGAAAGGAATAAGCAAGTGCAAAGGCCCTGAGAAGGCAATATTGTACTTAAAGAAGAGCAGGAAAGTCAACTGGGAGAGGGAGAGGAATAAATATTTGTTAAAAATGGAATTGTATAGCTTAACCAAATCATTAAAACAAACCTAGAGTTTTGCAAACATAGTGTTTTACGTTTCTGTGAAGAAATGCTCTGCAAATCCCAGCATCATTTCTCAGTGATTGCACTCATAAGAGCACAGTTCAAATAGTTGCCAAGTAGGCTGCTGGAAAACATCCTGGTGTTTATATTTAGACATAATACTTACCACATGAAGTGGCCTGATCCCCATTCACTCTTGCACTAAGTAATTAATTATGAAAAGGTTATATTACTGCTTCAAAAAATATTAACACCCAAATATCATAGCTTTTTCTCTTTTCTTTACCTCTAGAAAAGAAATTTCTCTTTTTATTTTGAGGGGGATGTTTTTTGGTAAGGACGACTCCCAGATGTTCTTTTACTGGAAAAAATCTGGGAAATAAAGGAAATAGAAAATTATAAAAGAACGCAATCTAAGTTGATATATAAAGTAAAATATAAAGCCAATGAGGACAGGAAAAAGAAACAAGGAACTTACTTGTCTGGCTTTGGAGGAGAGTTTGGAAAGAGGAAGGAAAGGTCTTTGGGGAAGCAACTATATATGGGTGATATTGAGAAGGAAGTAGAGAGATTAGAGTAGTTGACTGTATTAAATGTACCCATCCTTCTGAGACTGTTGTTCCCTAAAGTATCACAGCCAGCATGGTGCTAGCTTAAAGATGAATGAGAGAAGGCCCAGTGCTATGAGGATTTCAATTATAAGAGTCCATGTGTGAGTTTAATCTAGATGACCTTGTAAGACCCTTCAATACTAGAAACAATACTGTCCTGAAATACTTCTATGAAACCTCCCAAATGGCACGTCCCATACCCCACATCTGCCTAGAGTAACCTAGAATTCTATTTTCTTTCTCTCCTTTACTCCTAACACCCATTCCTTCCAATATTCCTTGAAAGAATGTGGTACTAGAGTAGCAATCCTAACAATAACATTTTTAACTACAATAGAAAATTGATCTTTAAAAAATTTCATTTATTTAAATGTTAATGATTTGTAAAGATTGTATATCATTCTCATTTTATGAAAATATTTTATAGAAGCAGAAGTCTTTATTCAGAGAGAACAAGAAGCAGGGATTGACTGAAACGTGAAAGAAGTTTTTCCTTTTGTTAAATGTCAATGTAGTGTCACAGACTCAACTTGACACAGCTAAAAAGCAAGGGAACATAAGTGTTTGCAGCTTCATGCCAGCTCTTTTAATAGACCAACTGGACTAGGATACTCTGGTACCATATGAGTGAGGCTCTGCATGAGACTTCTGAAGTAGGGGTGGTGGGCAACCCTTGAATAATCCCAGAACTTGGGCCAAGACATTAATTCCTTTGAGTTGTGGACTATAGGGGCTTAAATATTGGCCATATTTGCTTCAGAGACATGCAACTGTGAATCACTCTAAACTGAGCAAAGTGTGGGACATTCAATCTTCCATTCTTTCCTACTTGGTTGTACAACCAAAGAATGAGTCACATGGCACCCCAAAACTTCTCCATCCTATAAGCTTTCTTAGAGTGAGGCTCTCAGAAAAAACAAGCAGGCAAAGGCAGTTTTGAGCCCTATACACTCTGGTGTCACTG